TGTCAGCAATTTCAAGAAGTATGGGCTGGATGAATGCACTATAAGGTGGGTAGAAAGTTGGCTAGATTGTCAGGCTCAACAGGTAGTGATCAATGGCTCCATGTCTAGTTGGCAGCCGGTGTCAAGTGGAGTGCCCCAGGGGTCCGTCCTGGGGCCGGTTTTGTTCAATATCTTCATAAACGATCTGGAGGATGGTGTGGATTGCACCCTCAGCAAATTTGCGGATGATACTAAACTGGGAGGAGTGGTAGATACGCTGGAGGGCAGGGATAGGCTACAGAGGGACCTAGACAAATTGGAGGATTGGGCCAAAAGAAATCTGATGAGGTTCAATAAGGGTAAGTGCAGGGTCCTGCACTTAGGACGGAAGAACCCAATGCACAGCTACAGACTAGGGACCGAATGGCTAGGCAGCAGTTCTGAGGAAAAGGACCTAGCGGTGACAGTGGACGAGAAGCTGGATATGAGTCAGCAGTGTGCCCTTGTTGCCAAGAAGGCCAATGGCATTTTGGAATGTATAAGTAGGGGCATAGCGAGCAGATCGAGGGACGTGATCGTCCCCCTCTATTGGTCATTGGTGAGGCCTCATCTGGAGTACTGTGTCCAGTTTTGGGCCCCACACCACAAGAAGGATGTGGAAAAAATAGAAAGTGTCCAGCGAAGGGCAACAAAAATGATTAGGGGTCTGGAACACATGACTTATGAGGAGAGGCTGAGGGAACTGGGATTGTTTAGTCTGCAGAAGAGAAGAATGAGGGGGGATTTGATAGCTGCTTTCAACTACCTGAGAGATGGTTCCAGAGAGCATGGTTCTAGACTATTCTCAGTGGTAGAAGAGGACAGGACAAGGAGTAATGGTCTCAAGTTGCAGTGGGGGAGGTTTAGGTTGGATATTAGGAAAATCTTTTTCACTAGGAGGGTGGTGAAACACTGGAATGCATTACCTAGGGAGGTGGTAGAATCTCCTTCCTTAGAAGTTTTTAAGGTCAGGCTTGACAAAGCCCTGGCTGGGATGATTTAATTGGGGATTGGTCCTGCTTTGAGCAGGGGGTTGGACTAGATGACCTCCTGAGGTCCCTTCCAACCCTGATATTCTATGATTCTATGATTTGTATTAGCATCACTCCTCCTGCTTTGAAATAAGCATTCAATCTTGAAAACTATATTCTATGGCCACTAGAGTGCGCATCACAGCTTTCGTTTCACATGGTAGTGCTTCTCTCAACACAATCTCTAATGAGGCAAAAAGAAAAGGAGTACTTGTGGCACCTTAAAGACTAACCAATTTGAGCATAAGCTTTCGTGAGCTACAGCTCATTTCATCGGAAATCTAACGAGGCAAACTTATCTTCATAGATCTTCCTCAGATTCTTCTACCTCTCTCCAAGAAGAATGTTTGCCAGCCTCATACAAACGGAGTACTTCCTCTCTGGGGCAATAATTATATATTGGATGACAAAGGTCTAGAACTTTATCAACTCAGGAAACCATAATAAAAATTCATGGTGAACAGGAAAGTTATTTTTAGGGCTGTCAAGCGATTAAAAAATTAATTGCACTGTTAAACAATAGAATACCATTTAAATATTTCTGGATGCCTTCTACATTTTCAAATATATTGATTTCAATTACAACACAATACAAAGTGTACAGTGCTCACTTTATTTTTGATTACAAGCACTGTAAAAAACACAGAAATTTTCAATTCACCTAATACAAGTACTGTAGTGTAATCTCCTTATCATGAAAGTTGAACTTACAAATGTAGAATTATGTACAAAAAACTGCATTCAAAAATAAAACAATGTAAAATTTTAGAGCCTGCAAGTCCACTCAGTCCTAATTCTCGTTCAGACAATCGCTCAGACAAACAAGTCTGTTTACATTTGTAGGAGATAATACTGCCAGGTTCTTGTTTACAGTGTCACCTGACAGTGAGAACAGGCGTTCTCATGGCACTGTTGTAGCCGGAATTGCAAGATATTTACAATCTTTATTGCCAGATGCGCTAAAGATTCATATGTCCCTTCATGCTTCGGCCACCATTCCAGGGGACATGCGTCCATGCTGATGACCGGTTCTGCTCAATAAGAATCCAAAGCAGTGCGGACTGACATGTTCATTTTCATTATTTAAGTCAGATTCCACCAGCACAAGATTGATTTTCTTTTTTGGTGGTTCAGGTTCTGTAGTTTCCGCATTGCAGTGTTGCTCTTTTAAGACTTCTGAAAACATGCTCTACCACCTCACCCCTCTCAGATTTTGGAAGGCACTTCAGATTCTTAAACCTTGGGCCAAGTGCTGTGGCTATCTTTAGAAATCTCACATTGGTACCTTCTTTGCATTTTGTGAAATCTATAGTGAAAATGTTCTTAAAATGAACAACTTGTGCTGGGCCATCATCTGATACTTCTATAACAGGAAATATATGGCAGAATGCAGGTAAAACAGAGCAGGGGACATAAAATTCTCCCCCAAGGAGTTCAGTCACAAATTTAATTAACTTTTTTTCCCAACAAGTGTCATCAGCATGGAAGTATGTCCTCTGGAATGATGGACAAAGCATGAAGGGGCATACAAATGTTTAGCATATATGGCACGTAAATACCTTGCCATGTTGGCTACAAAAATGCCATGCAAATGCCTGTTTTCACTTTCTGGTCACATTGTAAATAAGAAGAGGAGGACAGCATTATCTCCTGTAAATGTAAACAAACTTGTTTGCCTTAGCGATTGGTTAAACAAGAAGTAGGACTGGGTGGACTTGTAGGCTCTGAAGTTTTACATTGTTTTGTTTGAGTGCAGTTATGTCACACAAAAACATCTACATTTGTAAATTGCACTTTCACAACAAAAAGATCGCACTACAGTACTTGTATGAGGTGAACTGAAAAATGCTATTTCTTTTATCATTTTTACAGTGCAAATATTTGTAATCAAAAATATACACTGATTTCAATTACAACAGAATACAATATATAGGAAAATGTAGAAAAACATCCAAAATATGTAATAAATTTTAATTGGTATGCTATTGTTTAACAGTGCAATTAAAACTGCAATTAACAGAGATTAATTTTTTGAGTTAATCCCGTGAGTTAACTGCAATTAATCAACAGCCCTAGTTATTTTGACAGCCCTAGTTGTATTCTGTCCTCATGCCCATGCACCTCAACTTGCTACAGCCTTCAACTCCCTATCTATATGCCCACAACCAATATAGCCACTCTCAGCTCCCCCAGATTTTCAATAATAATCCCACATTCCTCCTTGCCCCTCAAAGGGTATCACACTGTAGCTGGGGGTATGATTTGAAAGCTTTCATGGACATACCCATGGTAGCTTTAATCTAGCTAACCCGCTAAAACTAGTAGTGAGAACGTGGCAGGCAGCATGGTCTTCAGTGCAGGCAGCACAAGTACCTACCCAGAGGGGTAAAACAGGCTCGTGCAGCCCGCACTGCCACGTCCTCACTGCTATTTTTAGCAACCTAGTTAGATTAAAGCTAGTGCACGCACAACTACAGAAGCTGCAAACTGCACCCCGACCTGTAGTCCAGATGTACCCAAAGGCTTGGCACCTGTCCCCTCTCCCCACTAACTGTAAGTCACCTTTATTACACTGTATTAATCGTATGGGTTAGGTAGAGAAAGGGTTAGAAACCATGTTTGTTAGGAGTATTTAAATAAGGAGTTGAGGGCAACATGAAATCTTTTGACTGGTAACAGCAAGGGTAACCAGCAATTGAAGACAGTGTATTTTATTACATATCAACCTATCAAGATATGGTCACTCAAAACCCTAACCATCCTACTTGCATCCCCCTTTCCTCTACCCTTTGACAGACTAAGTTATTTGTGGCAGGGACTGTACCATTCTTGTGTGTTTACATGGAACCTAACAGGTTTTCTTCCTCCATAGCAGTACAAAGTAGCTACAGGGTAGGGATTTGTATATTTATTACAATTAGACAGCCACAGTGAAAAGGTTGTTAAAAGGGGGAGAGAGAAAAATTGTTCTTAACCTCTGAGAATAGGACAAGAAGCAATGGGCTTAAATTGCAGGTTTACGTTGGACATTAGGAAGTTTTTCCTGTCAGGGTGGTTAAGAACTGGAATAAATTGCCTAGGGAGATTGTGGAATCTCCATCATTGCAGATTTTTAAGAGCAGGTTGGACAAACACCTGTCAGGGATGGTCTAGATAACACTTAGTCCTGCCATGAGTGCAGGGCACTGGACTAGATTACCTCTTGAGGTCCCTTCCAATCCTATGATTAGGCAAGGAGGTTTGGGGATTTCCTCCAATGCTCCCCACTCCCATTCTCCATCCATTGTATTGTAGTTTATATAAACTACCTAAATAATTGAAGCCAGCATGATTATACTGCATTTTGACAAATAAAATATGCAGAATTTTAAAATATTGTGCACCATTTTAAATGTTTTGGTGCAGAATTCCCCGAGGAGTAAGTTCCTAGAAAAGTGGGGCTCATAGCACATGGCCCATCATTTTAAAAAAAAATGATTGCTTAAGTTTTAAGATCCCCAGCTCCCTTTCTCAGGAAAAACCCCTGGCTCTTAATTAGAAGGTTCCTAGGTTATCAGTGTGAGTTAGGGACCAGTAATACTTGGCCAGCAAAGGCTGAGACTGCTTCTAGCCTTAAGACCTGCAGCAGGTAGGGGCGAAAAGGGCACCTGTAACACATCCTCCCCCAACCCAAACATCAGCTCACCTATGAAAGAAGTCACTCCTGCATCAACAAAACAAGCAGACTGAAATCTAGAAAAGTGGAGTAGGGCTCCACAGAGGGAAAGCAGAACAACAATCTAGATGCACTAAGAGCAGAGTTTTGTCCAAACACTAATAGAAAAAAATAATATATAAAGGAACCAGATACGTTTGCATATTTATAACTGAGCTGGTATCCACTCAACATAATTAAGTCCCAAAATAAAAATAGGACAGAACTTTCTTCTTAAAGAATAAATGACCATTCACCTGTCTGTACATCAATGACCATCTGATGGCCTCCTCTCATTCCTGGTCTGCTGTCTTCTCCATCACCTAGTTAAAGACAAAGGAAAGATTTTCTATTATACATTATTTTTTAAAAAATTATAATTCATTCATTCATGCCATAAAAGCTGAGTGGAGGCAGCACAACTTAAATAGCCCACAGTCCTTCAAACATTCAAAACATACATAGCAATTATATGGAGAACAGCATGTTTATACTCAAAGCAACCAAGATTTTTTTTTTTAATTGTCCAATTGCTTTTTGTGTCTATCTTCCAGAGAAAAATCATTGTCATATGTAAATCAGTGAATACAATGCTCTCATTCAGTACATGGAGTCTCTTGCAAGAGGAAACCTTAACATTTCCTGGATGTGAAAACATATCCTCAGGTCCATAAAAACTGTTGAGCTTAAACCAACCTTTGCAGCCCCCAATGCTGGGGACAGCCAAAGGCTAGTTCAGTTCCCAGCATGATAAAGAGCAGCCTCAGAACTGCCTGAAGACAAGTCAGCTAGAATAGCACCTTAAATGCTACTCCACCACCCCAGAAAAGCCATCTTGTATAACTTTTGGTTTAAAGCTACTGTTTTGTGAACGGTTCCTTACTGAACTGTACATTCACATAATTATTTTAGTATCTGAAGATAAATGCATCGTGCCAGAGTGAAAAGTAAATGACATCAGCTGCACCTGTAAAAAGCAGGATTAAGCTGTCCTATAACCTACCTTTTATCACCTTCATGCACTGTATCCACAAATTACTATAGTGGCAATTACTAATGCATGGGTAATTTTTAACAGTGTTTCCATTTAGACTCTTACCTTTGGTACTTTTGGGGATAATCTGACCCCACCGCGGTTTGTATTCCTGCTGACTGATGTACTGATTGAACAAGCCATCTGCAAACACAGGAAAAACAACTTATTGCTGCATGTAATGTTGGCAGTTACTTTAATCTGAAAAATTTCTGCTACAACATAATGTAAGATGCTCTCACTCAAACCTAACTGCTACTCTAGAGCTCTCTTCAAACAACTGTCATATGCATGTCAGTTTCTAATAACATTTTCATAAATCATACCTTATTCAATTTGTATTTTGACAAAATAAAGAAAGTAAACATTAGTCACTATATCAATCAAGAATCAACCTAGCTGGATTGCCATGTCATGCCAGTTATCCATAAATCTCTAGCGTGACAGGTTTTAATTAAGAATGGGTTCTATTTCCGTTATTTAAGCAAGAAGGGAGAAAGTTGCAAGTGCTTATAAATTCAGCCATTTCGGCTCATGTTGAGCTGAAACTGCGTCAGATGGTGTCTCCAGAGCTTCATCTAAGAAAAAAAGGCAAAGGCAGACTGCTGTAAATGCTGAGAAGAAAGAAACAGGCACTGGATCAAAATAGAAAAGTAAATTAGTCTTAAATCCCATCTCTCTCCTTGGTTTACCTGAGGGTGTTTTTTGTTGGTGGACTTTTTTTTCCCCCCCCTTCTTTTTGGAGAGGAGGGGGCAGGGACACAAAAATGGGACTGGGCTTTTGGGGCCCTTGATAAAAAGCAGATTTATACAGGGTTAGATTATATACATGCTTCCTGAACCACAGAATGAAGTTTATAAATCTAAACAAAAAACTTAACACCCACTTAAAGAAAAGGAGTACTTGTGGCACCTTCGAGACTAACCAATTTATTTGAGCATAAGCTTTTGTGAGCTACAGCTCACTTCATCGGATGCATACTGTGGAAAATACAGATGTTTTTATACACACAAACCATGAAAAAATGGGTGTTTATCACTACAGAAGGTTTTCTCCCCCCCCCCCCCCTTCCTGCTGGTAATAGCTTATCTAAAGTGAAAAGGGAGTACCGATGAAGTGAGCTGTAGCTCACGAAAGCTCATGCTCAAATAAATTGGTTAGTCTCTAAGGTGCCACAAGTACTCCTTTTCTTTTTGCGAATACAGACTAACACGGCTGTTACTCTGAAACTTATCTAAAGTGATCACTCTCCTTACAATGTGTATGCTAATCAAGGTGGGCCATTTCCAGCACAAAACCTATTACCAGCAGGAGAGTTGGGGGGGGGGAGAAAACCTTCTGTAGTGATAAACACCCATTTTTTCATGGTTTGTGTGTATAAAAACCATCTTCTGTATTTTCCACAGTATGCATCCGATGAAGTGAGCTGTAGCTCACAAAAGCTTATGCTCAAATAAATTGGTTAGTCTCTAAGGTGCCACAAGTACTCCTTTTCTTTTTGCGAATACAGACTAACATGGCTGTTACTCTAACACTCACTTATTCATCCCTACCCCCTTTTTTTTTTTTTTTTTTTTTTTGAAGTGTGGAGACCATCAGTCCAGGGGGGTTGGGGGGGTATTTTTCCCTATTCAGGAGCCCAGGCATCTTGGGGTAAGGCAAGGACTTTAGAAGTTATGAACTTAGCTGATAGGCATCCACTTCCTAAGAATACAGCTGTAAATTCAGAAGTGTATTTACCTACCCCAGATGGCTCTAAGTGGAAAAATTAAAATCAAAACTGTATAAGCTCTTAATTATGTGTTGTACATGACAAACTTTCTCCACATCATATTTTTAATTTTTTTCTGGTCTTAATTTGTCAGGACTGAGATCTAGGTTTAATTATATGCTTAATTCTGTAAGTCAATGAGTGCTTCCTGGAAGAGGCTGAGCGGTCTAAGGTTCTGAAGTCTGGTCTCCCCAAACACTACACAGCATTTACAAACTCAAACAAGAGTTACGTTGGTCAATTCTAGCTAGAAAAAAAAACTTTCAAATGTTTTCAGGCATTTTGATTCGCTCCAGAGATACATGCACAGTATATGTTCTGTTATTTGACGCTAGTAAAAAATTCCACATTAACAGAATCAGACACATTTTACTAGCCACAAACAGGTAGAAAAAAACAACATTCTTTTACGGAACATTAGGATGGTTTGGTCTTCAAGAAAGGAGCTAAACAGCATCATCAATCCCTTTGGCAGCAAACAGATTATTGGACACACAGAACAAGAGGATGAATTGCACCATATGACCTGAAAAGGGTGGTTTTAACCTCTCTCTCATACTCAACGCCCACAGGCTGCACTTGTCAAGACAACAACACTTCTCCCCTGCTGTGCCTTCAGCTTCTTTTAATAATGCTTCTTTTCTTCCATGGGACACTGGTTTGGAGATACTCCAGCTCTCTTCCCAGAAATGTTTCTTTCAGCTGGGAGCAGTTCCACATTCATTCTACTTGTGCTATAAATCAGCAGTGGCTTGTTTTGGAAGCTGAATCACTCACTAGTGGTTTGGCACATAGGCAGAAAGGGGCCTACGTGGATCTCCTACCGGGTATCTGATCTATTCTCGTACCTTGCTCATAGTTCTTGTTTTATCAGCTAAACTGACCTGACACGTCTAAAGAAAGACAACGTACTGCACAGGCCCTGTGAAGGATCAGATCTAGGCCAGATTAGGTTTTTATCATCTGTTTCCAATGAAACAGTAACAGTGGTTTAGAACAATATTTTCAACTCCATTGCACAAACAATTTTAAGAGCGCTTACTAGTTTTAAAGGAAAATCAATTTCTAGAGCCCATGAGGCCTTTCACATGGGTCAATGCCCACGTCTACTCTACAATTATGTCCAAAGATTATTCATTATGTACCATTATCTATTAACTCCTTTACACCTACACTGTGATGCATTTTGCATACAGTAACATCCAACTCCTAGAGATTACAGGTTAATCATCAGTTAGGTACAATTTACCAATATTAGAGACTTTATTTTGTCAGCCAGTTGAATGTTATGTAGCAAGAGATTTTACAGAATAACCAAATGAAGGGAGTATGCATGGCTTAGTATTGCCCCTCAAAACTGCAGTGCATCTAGAACTTCCAGGAAGATTCAACCATTCCCTTCTTATACACCCTAAGCACTTTGAGCATAGTCAACAAATATTATAAGACTTTTCGCTAGTGACTTAGTGGATGATCAGACATCAGATATTGACATGAAAACAGCCAGATGGAACACCTCCTTGAAAAAAAGTGAAACCAGAACACTACCTGTAGCTTGCACAGAGAAATCTAATCTGTAAGTATGTTTTGCAGTAGTTTCATGCAGTTCCATTAAGAAACTTGGATTCTGCATTTGCTGTACAGGAATATTAACCAGACTTGTCTCTCAGAGTGTAGGCTGTCTGCAAGATGCAGGAATGAATCCAAATGTGAGGTATTTGAGCTATGTCTGAGCACCCAATTGAGATTTAGGGAACCTTTTATTTTTGAGAGGCAGTCAACCAGTTGTCAGAGTTTCAATATGCCCATTTTCTGAGCATAATGCACATGAGGAAGTCCTAAGAATCTGTGGGAAGAGAGTGATTGCCTGCCAAAAAGTTCTCAAAAGAAATTATCCAGTGAGGTAGGGTGGAAGGCATCAGTGTTCAGCACTAGGAATACAAAAAAAAGATCTACTTCCACTAATATTCATTCTCATCCATGCAGACCCATTCTTGCCATCTAATAATATGGTGACCACCTGCAAGAGGTATGGCATGTCACACTTTAAAATCTAGCGTTACAAATATTTGCTCCCTATTTAAGTCAATTTGTGCTAAACTAACTGTGCGGCATCCGTGTTAAGAAAAATGTAGTGGTGAAATGAAGTTAAGGCCATGAACCTCAAGATCAACATGCAGTCAAAAGTTCATATGCCCAGGTTTAGGCTATGTAATGTCCAGGAGAGTTCAGAGTCTCTGAAAGCCTTGAAAGTTAACTGCGCATTTATATATATATTTCTCTTTACATGTACATTTGCACATCATTGGAAGTATACACAACACTATACTGACCAAAACAGACTTATTTGAAAAGCTAATACACAGGACAAGAGTTCAGGAATGAAAACGCCCCAAATTCTGCGTAAGAAGAAATTACTGTAGAAAGGTTTCACAAAAGTTTTAAGCAGGGAACTTAAGAGTGAGGTGCATGAGAAGGCATTTCAAACACAGAAGACAGCATGAGAGTATAAAAGAGCTTGGTGAGCAGGTGGTGGTAGAAGTCCAGAATGAAACATAGTAGGCCAGAATGAAGTTGTTTGGCCTTGAAGGTCAATGACAGGAAGGATAGTCCAGTGGTTCAGGGCACTAGCCTGGGACCCTGGAAGTACAGATTCAATTCCCTGCTCTGCCAAAGACTTCCTGTGTGACCTCAGGCAAGTCACTTAATGTGCTTCAGGATAATACTACTTCCCCACTTCACAAGGAAGTTGTGAGGATAACTACACACAGGTAATGTGGCTACACAAAGAAGGAAAGCTAGATGGAAAGATGGGTGAAAAGTGGGATTGAGGAGCTGCAACCTAATGTGAAAGCCAGGGAAGCCAGCGAAGGGGTTGAGGGATAACGTGGCCAAAGCAACAGAAGGGGAAGCAGTAGAGGATAAGAAGGGAATAATGCAAGTTAAACATTACTGTTGACAACACCAGCAAAACTTCAGTTAACTGGGAGCTTCAATTAGCCAGGTATTGGATATTAGGATTATACCATAAAAGTATTGATATCAGATTTATAATATCCCTTCAAAATCACTGACAGAATGTAGAATAGCATGTGTAAATAAAAATTAATGCTAAGTCATTCAAACAGATTGCTAGTGAAAGGGATAGCTCACTATAGTTTTATAATCTGGAACAAGAACAAAGGACACAAGACCACAACATGCTTAACGCTGCAGGTGTCAAGTTAACTACGGCTATGTCTACACTACCACTTATGTTGGTATAATTTATGTCACTCAGGGGTGTGAATAAGCCACCCCCCTAAGCAACACAGTTACACAGACATAAGGGCCGGTGTGGACAGCACTATGTCAGTGGGAGAGCTTCTCTCATTGATGTAGCTAACACTGCTCGTTGGAAATGGATTAATTAAGTCGACAGGAAAGCTCTCTCATATCTTAGAGCAATTACACAAGTAGAGAGCTTGCAGTCGCAGAGCTGCATCAGTGCAGCTATGTCACTAAGCTCTCTAGCAGAGCCATAGCCTAAACGCCAGGTATACACCAGAAACTTTTGCCAACAGTGTCAGTTTACAAGTCCTTAAAAAAAAAAAAGCAGCAGCAAATTTCTATATTGGCAAAAGCCGTAGCGTAGACGCAGTTATACCAACATAAAAGTGCTTTTCCCAGATTAGTTTATTTTGCTCAAGGAACCAGTATACACTATGTCTAACACTGGGAGCATTTCCCAGTATTGCCATACCAGCAAACCTCTTCTAGTGTAGACCTGGTATAGAGTTAGAGTGCCAGAGTTCTTTTGCACATTGCATAGGTGCAATTGAAGCAAGCAATCAATTGTTCAAGGCCATTGCTCTATGCCAAGAGATGTCAGAAGCCAATGCAAACCTGACATTTAAAACTGTGTCAAAAACTAGGCAGGTTAACCGTTCACCACAAAAAAATTATTAAACTGGAAAGCAACAGTGATTTGTTAACCAGTGAAATACAGGATCTAGGAATCGTGTCCTTTGCCAATACTTCTACACTGGATAAGCGGGAGAACACTGCAGCAGCTACAAATCATTTGTTCAAGCAAGAGAAAGTACTCAACACTTCCTAGAAAAAGTACAATCTAGAAGGCTGGAGAAAACAGAGCAGTCCCAGAGGAGTGGAAAACAGCACAGCAAAATCTCACACAGTAAACAGAACATGTTATTTGATATACTTGATTTTTAAAGGAGACACAAACTATGAGGCTATCTTTAGTTACGCTTCTTTTCACTCCCACTATACCCCAGGAACCAATCACTACTTTGATAAAACTGTATTACTGATATTGCCAGCAGGCACACACACTTCTGGAAATCGTGTTTACTAGCAGCAGCTATTACAAAGCAGGAGAGTTTAGCCCAGAAAGACTAAACTCTGGGCCCGACTTGCCATCATGCTACGTTGCTATTATGCCACTGAAGTCAAAGGAGTTACTCAAAGATTCTCTTTTATTATGCCAGTAGGAGTTTCACCTAGACCAGAGGTGGGCACACTTTGGCCCAAGGGCCACATCGGGGTGCAAAATTGTATGAAGGGGCAGGTAGGGAAGGCTGTGACTCCCAAACAGCCTGGCCCACGCCCCCTATTTGCCCCCTCCCACTTCCCACCCCTTGACTGCCTCCCCCAGAACCCCTGACCCATTCAACCCCCCCAACTCCTTGTCCCCTGACTGACTGCTCCCAGGACCCTCTGCCCCAATCCACCTCCCCCAGGACCCCACCCGCTATCCAACCCCTCTGCTCCCTGTCCCCTAGCCACACCTCCACCCCTGACAGGCCTGCCCAGGACTCCCACGCCCTATCCAACCCCCCTGTTCTCCAACCGCCCAACCCCCAGAACCTCTGCCCGATCCAACTGCCCCCGGGATCCTCTACCCCTTATCCACCCCGCCCCCCTTACCATGCAGCTCAGAGCTCACAGCCCCGGGACCCAGACGGAGCCAGCCGCACTGTCCACAGGGCAAGCTGAGGCTCTGGGGGTGGGGGGACAGTGGGGGAGGGGCCAGGGGCTAGCCTCCCCAGCCAGGAGCTCAAGGGTCAGGCAAGGTCAGTCTTGCGGGCCAGATGTGGCCCGCGGGCCGTAGTTTGCCCACCTCTGACCTAGAGAGAGCAAATGAACATAGAGCACAATACTGAGAGTCAGGAACTGCTGAGTTTTAACCATGGCTGTGCTCCAAGCTTACTGTGTGGGGAAAAGACACTTCAACTCTGCTACTCAAGCTCCCTCTGCACTCTAAATAAAGCGCTAAATAAGGGTTAATCTTAATTTATTTACAATGAACCTAGCCACTGGGCCTCTGCTCCAAAAGTCAGAGCCTTTCTCCCGCACCTACCTCAGTGTCTTCCTGTAAGCTCCTATTACAAGGCATATTATCCCTACTCCCATTCACAAAGCCACTAGCCTAATTCAAATCCCTCCTAAAATATTATTTCTGCTGTGTTGCCCAACTAGGTGGGTTTAAAAAGAACAATCCACTAAATTTAACAAAATTTATCATAATGAAGAGATGGCCTTGCTAATTGGTGAGTCTTACTGAAATTTTGTCCTTCTCTTACACTCCTCCCAACTTCTCTTTTATTTATTACGTTCTCTTTTAGTGTTGTCTGACTTTAGGTTGTCAGCTATCTGGGTCACAGACCTTGTCTTCACTTGTTCCTGGAAGCACCTTTTAAACTCTTGGGGGGTAGGGGCTTCAAAGTAATAGAATGAAAAGGGAAAATGTTAGTACATCTTGTCAATCTTTACTAACTCTTCTCATGCAGAGTATAATCATGTGTCCAGCAAGAGTTTACAAGGCATCATGCTTCAGATACTGAATAGCTCCCCTTACATAATGCAAAACAAAAAGCTATCACAATACAGCTGTGTACATTTTAATGTACATTATGGAAAGAGTTTATACATCAATAGGCTTTCTAGCCAAGATGCTGCTTTGGAGTCACTTACCATTTACAGCTTTTTCTATCAGTTCTTCACAAGCATCAAAGTCTCCTTTCAGCACTAGTTTGTCATGCAGATCTGTCAGCATTGGATGCTCTAGCGCAATCTTGGTTTTCTTCTGCAGTGATTCAAAAGCCTCAGTGTAGTTGTGCTGGCGAAAATGCTTTAGACATAGACGAATGGCTTCCTGTTCACGGTACTACTGGAACACAAGAAAACCTATGAGAAGGGTAGATTTCCCTGACTGGCACCAGCAGGAATTTCTCACAAATTTGTTGGGATGACAGGAAGTGGAAGCTCTCATACATGTTGCACAGGTTAACTGTTCATAGCCTACAAAGCTATACTAAACATAATACACTTTCCATGGCATCTGTCTCCCAATGAGATGAGAAAAAATGATGTGCTATTTCTTTCTTTAAGATGATTTAATTTGATACAGTTACAAGATGTGATTGCACACTTCACCACAAAACCAAATCTTTAAAATCACTGCCATTCCTTTATCATCTCTTTGGTCTTGCTGCTACTGAATTCTACATGAAAATGGAGAAAAGTGGGAAAAAACCCTTCACTCCCAAAGTTATGTAAGCATCAAATTATAACACAAAATACTTTAGAACAGTAAGTAGGTCACAGCTTCTCTAAGTGAAAAAACATAAGGAAAAAAGAGTATTAAACAGGAATATACACTATATACACACACACAATGACCATTAACCACCATTACTTGAAAACAAAGACAGAGAGCATGAAAACCCATAGCCTCAAAAGCCCAGCTGTCTTGCATAACTGTATTTGGAAAAAACTGGTGTACATGTCAAAACTAGCACTGCAGGCTATTCCCTCACACCAACCCCCTCATCTCATCCCCCAGTATATCAATGCTGCCCACCTGCCATCCAAGAGTGCAGGATTTTGACAATAAGGCCTGGAGGAGATCCAGTGAGTTACAGTACCCAAAACTCAAGAGACAGCATACAGCATCTGAAAAAGCTACCGTTTTAGTTGTCAGAGAGAGGGAAGATCATCATCATTAGGGCTGACAAGCTATTAAAAAAAAGAATCGCGATTAATCGCACTGTTAAATAGAATACTACTTATATAAAAAAAGTTATGTTTTCCACATTTTTAAATATATTGATTACAATTACAACACAGAATACAAAATGGACATTATATTATAAATATTTGCACTGTAAAAATAAAAATAGTATTTTTTAATTCACTTAAGTACTGTAGTGCAATCTCTATCATGAAAGTTGAACTTACAAAAGTAGAATTATGTACAAAACTGCATTCAAAAACAAAACAAATGTAAAACTTTAGAGCTTACAAGTCCATTCAGTCCTACTTCTTGTTCAGACAATTGCTCAAATAAGTTTGTTTACATTTGCAGAAGATAATGCTGCCTGCTTCTTGTTTACAATGTTACCTGAACATGAGAACAGGCGTTTGCATGGCAATGTTGTAGCCAGAATCGCAAGATATTTAAATGCCAGATGTGCTAAAGATTCATATGTCCCTTCATGCTTCAACCACCATTCCAGGAGACATGGGTCCATGCTGCTGACTGGTTCTGCTCAATAACAATCCAAAGCAGCGCGGACTGACATGTTCATTTTCGTTATCTGAGTCAGATTCTACCAGCAGAAGGTTGATTTTCTTTTTTGGCGGTTTGGGTTCTGTAGTTTCCGCATCGGAGTGTTGCTCTTTGAAGACTCCTGAAAGCATGCTCTACACCTTGTCCCTCTCAGGTTTTGGAAGGCACTCCCGATTCTTGGGTCGAATGCTGTAGCTATCTTTAGAAATCTCACATTGGTACCTTCTTTGCGTTGTGTCAAGTCTGCAGAGAATGTATTCTTAAAACGAACAACATGCTGGGTCATCTGAGACTGCTATAACATGAAATATATGGCAGAATGCAAATAAAACAGAGCAGGAGACATACAATTCTCCCTCAAAGAGTTCAGCCACAAATTTAATTAACACTTTTTTGTTTTTAAAAAACAAGTGTCATCGCATGGAAGCATGTCCTCTGGAATGGTGCCCAAAGCATTAAGGGGCATATGAATGTTTAGCATATCTGGCACGTAAATACCTTGTAATGTTGGCTACAAAAGTGCCAAGCGAACATCTGCTCTCACTTTCAGGTGACACTGTAAATAAAAAGCGGGCAGTATTATCTCCCGTAAATGTAAACAAACTTGTTTCTCTTAGCGATTGGCTGAACAAGAAGTAGAACTGAGTGGACTTATAGGTTCTGAAGTTTTATATTGTTTTGTTTTTGAGTGCAGTTATGTATCAAAAATCTACATTTGTAAGTTACACTTTTATGATAGAGAGATTGTGCTACGGTACTTGTATGAGGTGAATTGAAAAATACTATTTATTTTGTTTATCATTTTTACAGTGCAACTATCTGTAATAAAAATAATATAAAGTGAGCACTGTACCATTTGTATTCTGTGTTGTAACTTAAATCAATATATGTGAAAATGTAGAAAAACATCCAAAATATTTAATTAATTTCAATTGCTATTCTATTGTTTAACAGTGTGATTAAAACTGCAATTAATCACGATTAATTTTTTTTAAGTTAATCGCTTGAGTTAATTGCGATCAACCAACAGCCCTAATTATCATCAGCTTTAAATATGCTAACAGCAATAATTAGATGAAAGGAATTTAGGGAGACATTTTCCAAAGTGTGTAAACAATTTAGCACACCCACTTTCAATGAAACTTGTGCTCCCATATCTCCTTAATGAGATTACAAGTTTGGTTGCAAGGCATCTGACTAAGTACCACATGAAATTTTGATTAATAAAATAGAATACAAAATTAACATGGCACACATGAAGTGGATTAAAATATGGCTAATTAATAGGTCTCAAAATTTAACTATAAATGAGGAATCATCATAAAAAACAGGTGCGTTTCTAGTGGGATCCTGTAGGGATCAGTTCTTGTCCCTACACTATTTAACACAACCTGGAAGAAAAAAATCAGAGAAAGTTTGCAGATGACACAAAAATTGGGGGAGTAGTAAATAGTGAAGAGAACAGATCTCTGATAAAGAGCAATATGGCTCACTTAGTAAGCAGGGCACAAGCAAACAATTCACGTTTCAATATGGCTAAATGTAAAAGTATACATCTAGGAACAAGAACATATGCTATACTTACATGATGGGGGATTCTATCCTGGGAAGCAATGACTTTTGAAAGATTTGAGAGTTGTGGTGGATAATCAGCTGAACGTGAACTCATAGTGTGATGCTGTGACTAAAGACCTAATGAAATCTTTGGATGCATAAACAGGGGGATCTCAAGTAGGAGTAGAAAGGTTATTTTGGCTCTGTATTTGGCAATGGTGCAACTGCTGCTAGAATACTGTGTCCAGTTTTGGTGCCCACATTTCAAGAAGGATGTTGATAAATCAGAGAGGGTTTAGAGAATTAAAATGATTAAGGGACTGGAGAACATGCTTTACAGTGAGACCCAAGGGGAACAGTCTAACTTAAAGAGAAGGATAAGTAGTGATTTAATCACAATCTATCTGTGCCTTTATGGTGAACAAATATTTAAAAACGGGCTCTTCAACCAAGCAGAGAAAAGTATAACATGAGCCAATGGCTAGAAGTTGAAATTAGACCAATTCAGATTACAAATAAGGTGTGATTTTTTTTTAAACTTGGTGATTAATTATTGGAACAATTTACCAAGGGTCACAGTGGGCCCTCCACCATTGGATTTATTTATTTTTAATTCCAACTTAAATTACAGGTATGCTCTTGTTCAAAAAGTAATTTTGGTGAAGTCCTATGGCCTGAGTTATACAGGTCAGACTAGATCACAATTGCTCCTTCTTACCTTGAAAGCTATGAATAAATCACATAGGCACTTTTGAAATATAGCTGAATGTAAGAAAAAACAACATAGAATCATAGAACATCAGGGTTGGAAGAGACCTCACGAGGTCATCTAGTCCAACCCCAGGCCCAACCGCAACTAAACCATCAACTTAAAAACCTTGAAGGATGGAGATTCCACCACTTCCCTAGGTAACCCATTTCAATGCTTCACCACCCTCCTAGTGAAACAGTTTTTCCCTAATATCCAACCTAGACCTCCCCCACTGAACTTGAGACCATTGTTCCTTGTTCTGTCATCTGCCACCACTGAGAACAGCTGAGCTCCATCCTCTTTGGAACCCCCCCCCTTCAGGTAGTTGAAGGCTGCTATCAAATCCCACCTCACTCTTCTCTTCTGCAGACTAAATAACCCCAGTTCCCTCAGCCTCTTCTCATAAGTCATGTGCCCCAGACTCCTAATCATTTTTGTTGCCCTCCGCTGGACTCTCTCCAATTTGTCCACATCCTTTCTGTAGTGGAGGGCCCAAAACTGGACGCAATACTCCAGATGTGGCCTCATCAGTGCCGAACAGACGGGAATAATCACTTCCCTCGATGTGCTGGCAATATGCCGTTGGCCTTCTTGGCAACAAGGGCACACTGTTGACTCATATCCAGCTTCTCGTCCACTGTAATCCCCAGGCCTTTTCTACAGAACTGCTGCTTAGCCAGTCGGTCCCCAGCTTGTAGCAGAGCATGCGATTCTTCCATCCTAAGTGCAGGACTCTGCACCTGTCCTTGTTGAACCTCAGATTTATTTTAGCCCAATCCTCCAATTTGTCTAGTTCACTCTCGACACTATCCCAAAGCTCCAGCGTATCTACCTCTCCCCCCAGCTTAGTGTCATTCACAAACTTGCTGAGGGTGCAATCCATCCCATCATCCAGATCATTAATGAAGATGTTGAACAAAACCAGCCCCAGAACAGACCCTTGGGGCACTCCGCTTGATACCAACTAGACATCGAGCCGCTGATCACTGCCGGTTGAGCCCAATGATCTAGCCAGCTTTCTATCCACCTTATAGACCATTCATCCAATCCATTCTTTTTGAACTTGCTGACAAGAACAACACTGTGGGAGACCGTATCAAAGCTTTGCTAAAGCTGAGATATATCATGTCCACTGCTATCCACAGAGCCATTTATCTCATCATAGAAGGCAATCAGGTTGGTCAGGCATGACTTGCCCTTGGTGAATCCATGTTGACCCTTCCTGATCACCTTCCTCTCCTCCAAGTGCTATATATACACACACCATATAACATATACCATCTTGGTTTCTAAGAGTTAAAGTTAGAACTTTAGAAGTGTTCACTTGTACATCAGTAAAATCTACCGAGTTTTAAGGTGAAACCAATATAGAAAAGTCCTAAATTATTAAGTGATGGAAGTATAAAAAAAGCAGACTGGAGCACATTCAACTCCCTAGTTTAGTCATAAGGCCAAATTCAACCGTGGTGTAACTCCACTGAGGGCATTAATACATTTGATGTATTCAGTCCATAAAGTTTGAAATTAATGTTGCTAGTTTTGACGGTCAATATTTACAGTGAAATGCTCCTATGAGCATAAATGGTTATTTTAAAACACCAAGCAGAGGTCCAGCACAGCTTTTATTGAGAAAAGCTATGAATACACTACACACTTTATATATTTCATTATCTCCCACCCTTCATATGTTGCTCATCTTCTTAGACTGCAAGATCTTTTATACACAGACAGTGAGCACATCTTCGCTGGTACAGCTTCTAGTACAACAGGGCCCCATTCCTGGTTGGGGCTTTTGGGTACTATTATGAAGACCCTATTTAACTTGCAGTATTTGTGGAAATTGTGGATTCTGCAATATTAAGCTTCCATCGCAATGTTGACAGTGGGGGCCCTCACTCTCAGCCCTGGACAGCCAACAGCAGAAAACTGCAGAAAAGTAATAATGGACTTTATTACTGCAAATAAAGCAGGTCCATTAAGGTCCATTATTACTTTTCTGCAATTTTCTGTGGCTTGTCTGCAACTCAGCTGCACATTTTTTTTTTGACAATCATCCCACAATTCAAGTGGCGCCTTAATCACGATATGAATGCTAGAGACTAATTTAAATTGGTTAGTCTCTAAGGTGCCACAAGTACTCCTTTTCTTTTTATAATTGTCAAGGTCCAAGTAGACGACCCAGAGTATAGCTGTAGACTGGGTTTTAATAAACGTCTCATAATTTACAGACCAGGATAGGAAGGCAAAAAAAGAAATCATGTTAAACAGTCCACTGCAGCTAACCTTAAAGTTTAAGTAGTATCAAAAGTGTTCTACTATTCACTAGCAAATGCAGGAATGAGAACAGGAAATATAGTCAAGCAAAAGCAATCTAGAAAAATGCTCTGATGTTGATGAGTGTGGCTAATTGAAGTAGGAATTATGGAGAGGAGTTTCACTTTTTTTTTTTTTAAATAAAACTTCATTTAGAGTCCATAAAAGTTAACAGGGTTTGAGGCTGACCTATCAAAGTAAAGTATTATAAAGATGTAATGACAACACTGAGAATTCAAGAACCTAGTGACGGGAAGAATGACAGATGAAAGGGGAGGTGAAAAGTTGCATGGATTACTATTTGGATTGACCATTATCAACCATTATTGTTTCCGAGAAGAGAGACCGTGTGTGCACAAGTGCATGCACAAGCACATACTTTGTTGATGTTTTCTATATAAACTGCTCTCTTGTACACAACGATCACATCTCACCATACTGACCAAAGACAAAAGTGTGTATGAAAACGTGTACATCTACATACACGCACTTGTCTTGGTCAGTATGACAAGATTTGAAATTACTCTATAATAGAGCACTTTACATGGAAATGTAAGTTGAAAATCACCACCAAAGATCTTTATATGTTTAAGCTTGAGTGTTTTGTCCTGGAACAACAACTTTTACTATGGTTTGTGTTATAGCAGTGCCCTAGAACAGATCACGTAGTCCCTCTCCCACCACGCTGAAGCCTATGCCTACAATTATCCTGGCATGTGTAAAGCCATGAAAACTAACTAGTCTATTTACTTCAAATAACCAAGTGTTCAAGTTTATACAACACCCTTTAAAGAAAGGGTAATATAGGACAAAAAGTCTGAAATCAAGCTTCCACACTTGCCTTTAAAAATAAATAAATAAATAAATAAATAAATAATAATGTCTGTTTAAACAGTTGATACCTGCAGAACAGAACAGAAATAGTGCAATTCCACAAGAGTAAATTTTACAGTGTTTTGAGATTACACCACTCTCAAAGCAAACAGTCATTTATAATGCAGGCCTACCTTGCTGTACCAGTTGAGGCAGGGTTGGACCACATCTGGATCATCAATGCCATTAAGTTCAACATACCAGATACTAAAATTGAAGCTGGGCCCCCATGATAACAGTGGAACTGGAGGGGTAGAGGGTGGGGAAAAAAAGAAAGATACATAAATGTCAAATACTTGTTAGATTATTGATCAAACCTACAACACTATTCAAAAGAATGCATTTTTAGCTCAAAGAGAATAATGATTTAACAAGAATAAAATTCTCTTCCTTTACACACACATTTTTGGTTATTGATTTTCTGTAAGGTTAGAAAAATTACCAGCCATACATCATATTAATCTGTGGCTCAGAACAGCTTGCAGTGGGGAAAAAAGATGAAGACAGCAGCTCTTTACAGACTAGACGCTTGTACACAGGTAGACAAAAGTAGGGTCAGAATGCTGGAATCTGAATACAATAGCTCAAATGGCCAGTGGGTTTTGACACTGATGGACATTACCTGGGCAAATTGAGGGCAGTACTGGATACTTAAAGTATGTGGTTTATTTCATTTTTACCAGCAGTAGAACCACCACCCCCTGGTTAAGAAACAGGATATCAAGTTTGGTTATTTTTTACTTTACATGATTTGCAACATCCTCTTGGAAGCTTGGAGGCAGGGTGGGGTGCTTTTTCCAGGTTCACAACTTTCATCCATACTATATTTCTATCTAATTGCATGTGAAACCAATTTGGCTTTCTGGCAGTTTTACTTCCACAATTGTGTACCTCTCTCCCTAAAACTCCCCCCATCAAATACTATTATTCTCTCCCACCCCATTTCGAACATCAAGGATGTCAGGTTAGCTGGCAGCCTGCTTAGAGCTCCCCTTGTGCCCTCACTCCAAGTTTGGGCAAACACACTGTAGTGACATAACTTCACTGCATTTGGCTTTTCCCTCAACAGCAGGCAGCACTAGTAAGAACTACCACCACAGCAGGTCTATACCATGACATACTCCTGGGGGAATTCTGTGCCACTGTGCAATGCAGAATTTGTGCAGAGTTCCAGGTTTCCCCTGCAGAATGGGGGCTGCAGAGCTGCTGAGCACCACTAAGGGACACTGGACTCTAGAGCCCAGCTTGCAGTGAGCAGACTGCGCAGCCCAGTAGGGATGGAGGCTCTGCATGCTCTGGCTACCCAGCTTGATCCTCCTACTCCCAGGGACAGGAGAGGATCTGGGAGACCCAGCTAGGGCAAAGGGTGAGGAAGGGCAGAGTTGCACCACACAACATACCCCAGCGGGAGAGTAAAGATGATGCAGGGAGTAAAGGCTCTGGGGGTGCAGGTGCCTGGCCAAGAGAGTGCGCTGCAACTGGGCTCTGGGGGGATGGAAGGGTGCCATGTGGCTGGGCTCTGGGGATAGGGGAAATGCAGATGGCTGGGCTCTGGGGGTGCCACACAACCCCCTCCAAAAACCCCTAACTGGGTTGTCATAGGGGTTTCTTTAACTCTACTCCTGGGGGAATCTTTTTTGTTACCTGTATTGTTGACATACTTGTTGCAACGTATTTTGAAATAAATTACCAAAAATAATTGAATGGAGTGTATATTGTGTTATTTTGACATATAAAGAATTCTAAATTTTCTGCACAGAATTTTTAATTTTTTGTTGCAGAATTCCCCCAAAAGTACACTGTGTTCAAGCCCACAGCAGCAGAGAGCTGCTAATGAAGGTTAAGGAATAAATAGTACACACATTTAGAAAATGTGAAGCACTACACGAACAGTTACGGAACATGGAGAACGTCCTCCTTAATGTTTGAGGTACAATAAGATAGCTTTGGGGCCTAAACTATTTGATACTATCCCTTTAAAAGTGGAAAGAGCTATTAAAATGTTACACTTTAAGGAAAAGTGACATGTTTTCTCTTAGGAAGAGCAAAGGATGCCAAAATCCAGTGCAAAATTTGAACAGCAGGTCTGTAGGCAGATCTAATATGAATAAAGTGTAATGCTGTAGATCTATAGCATTTAGCTATGTTAACTATACAACACAAGCCAAGACAGAGGACTCTACACTGAAGTTGCAGCATAGATCTGAAACTATGGAGAGATACAGGAGGTACAGAAACTCCATCCCAACTGATCATACTAGTGAGTAAAGGAATCATTTAATCCGTTTTATGAAAAGATGAGCTGCCAAAATCTTAATCTGTTCCCTCCTCATCCCACGAGGGGGGCACTGCCCACCCCCTCCGGGACTCCTGCCCCATCCAACCCCCCCACGTTCCTTGATGCCCCCCCCCCAGGACCCCTGCCCCATCCACCCTCCTCCCCATCCCCTGACTGTCCCCAGAACGGGGCAGGAAGGTCTCATGGGCCACCATAGTGGGTACCCATCCCGCCCCGCCCCTAAGAGCCAGAGGGACCTGCCAGGGGGCGAGGTCAGGAGTCCTGGAGGTGCTTACCTGAGGCAGCTCCCAGGAAGTATCCGGCAGGTCCCTCTGGCTCCTAGGGGCGGGGGAACAGCCGCTCCCCCACCGATCACATCAAAAGTGGCGCCACAGGTGCCGACTCCCTGGGTGCTCCGGGGATGGAGCACACACGAGGAAAATTTGGTGGGTGCAGAGCACTCACCGGCAGCTCCCTGCCCCGCGCCTGGCCCCAACTCACTTCACCTCTGCTCCACCTCTTCCCATGAATGTGCCGCCCCGCTCTGCTTCTCCACATCCCACCCCCCGTGAATCAGCTGTTCAGCAGGAAGCCAGGGAGGGCTGAGAAGCAGGCGATGGCTTCCCGCTCAAGCCGAGGGTGGCAGAGCTGAGCTGGGGCAGGGAGCGGTTCCCCCTACATGCCTCCCCCGCCCCGGTTACCTGCTGTGGCACAGGCAGCCCTCCTCGCAGCCCCCCGCCCCAGCTTACCTCCATCTCCCTGGGTCTGCACAGGAAGCCGCAACCTGCTTCTCAGCCCGCCCCGGCTTCCTGCGTGAACAGCTGTTTCGCAGGAAGCCTGGGGAGGGGGAGAAGCAGAGTGGGGCAGCGCGTTCAGGGGTGGAGACAGAGCGGAGATGAGCTGGGGCCGGGGGTGGGGTGGGGAGTTGTCAGTGGGTATTCTGCACCCAGCAAATTTTCCCCTTGGGTGCTCCAGGGCTGGAACACCCATGGAGTCGGCCCCTAAGGTGCCACTTTTGGCCGGTTAAATTTAGAAGCCCTTTTAGAACCGGTTGTTCCGTGAGGGACAACCAGTTCTAAAAGGGCTTCTAAATTTAACAACCGGTTCTAGTGAATTGGTGCAAGCCGGCTCCAGCTCACCACTGATTTTATGTACACAGTTACCATATGTCCCGATTTTATAGGGATAGTCCTGATTTTTGGGTCTCTCTCTTATATAGGCTCCTATTACCCCCAACCCCCATCCCGATTTTTCCACATTTGCTGTCTGGTCACCCTAGTTACAATCCTGATATCCTCTGACCGCTTGTGGTAATTAAAAAAAGTGTTACTGCACTCTTAAAAACAGGAATATTGACACTTGTGTCCTAGCCAAATTCTCACCTGATGGATCTTTAGTTGTGCAATTGTAACTATCTGTAGTTTAAACTTAGACTTCACTTCCTCTCCTAAATAGCATTGTTTTTAAAAAGTGTTTTTTGGTAGATACACAAGCTCCATACAGGAAGCCAAACATACCAAGTCAACATAATATACTATGTTTAGAGCTTGCTGGGAATTTTCTGTCCAAAATCATTGACTGAAAATGTATTTTCTGGAAATTTCTGATTGACATTTTTTCAGTTTTTCTCAGAGAGAAACTGAAACAAGGTGTTTAATTTTGGCATTTCAACACAAGTAAAAATATTTTGGTTTGCTTAACTGCATCTTTCTATACCGCCACGTTGCATCACAGAAGTTGTAATTCAGATGCCTCTTGCCCCTAGTCTCCCTATGAAGCAGGCTCCCTGGCCAGACTACATCTCATGATGCAACATGATCTCCCTTGACCACACTGTGTGGTGTATCATGGAAGTCACATGACTGCAGATGTATCACAGAAGCCGTAGTCTGGGGAAGGAGTCCAGTCCGTAGAAGAAAGAGGGCATCAGGTACCTGCTCTATAACTCCTATGAGGCAATGCAAAACTATAAAAATCATCTCCCTAATGTTGAACTGACTCAAAAAGTGACACATTTTGGGTCAGTTTATTTAACTGACATTAAACATTCCAATTCAGGAATATCAAAATGTTTTGTTTCAATTTAAAATTTCAAAATCAAAACACTGCTATTTCCAAATGAATTTTTTTGTGGACTAAAACATTCTGAAAAAATCTTGAATGTTTTGTCCCAGTTCAGGAGGTGGGAGGGGGGGGGCTGGGGGGGAGAGAAAGATTACATTGTAATCAAAATAAAAGTCAATCCTTTCCAAAGAAACACCAGAACCAAAGTACCTGATACCACAGCAAATAGCTCTCACCAAAAAAAACAAAAACAAATATCACTGCATGAAAGGGAGCAACTACCAAACAAAGGAGAGGGATGAAAGTAATTGCAGGGAAAGGCACTCTCTCAAGCGGGAAAAAAGGGAAAAAAAATAAAATCTTGTCCTTGCCAAAATTAAAATACTCCTTTCTGATTGCCTTTCAAGACATGATGAAAAATGGTTTAGGCTCCTGGGCTACTTCTGCGCTGCCCTACAGCTCAGACTTCTAAGGCGTGAATTGCAGTACGCAGCAAAATGCTGAGCCTGTGTGAACACTGCAGGCACAAACTAAAAAATTCCTAACTCACTTTAAGACCATGTTAATGCGAACTAGGAATCTTTTTACTCACTCCCACAGCATCCACATGGAGAAATTTAAGTGCAGTACTTCAGTATTCACACATCCCACTCCACCCCCATAGTCCAAACTGTGGGGCAGCACGGATAAACCATGGGTTTGCCGGACTAAGGAAGTCCTGGCCCCATTCCAGACTGATCGTACGGAGAGCAGATTTGTCTCAACTGATTGCCCAGCAGTTGCAGGCTCACTTAAGAATATTTATACGTGACAAGAAACAAATGGGTGCAGTGTGAAAAAACAAAAACAAACGGGATGCAAAGCAACTACTGAAATACGCAATGCCTAGATTTTACTATGTC